GTGAACGCAAAATTTGGTGAACGCGCACCGGGTGAGAATAGCCACAAGACTCGCCTGGACTATTCTCACTCCGGTGAGAATAGAGGTGGCCTTGCCCTATCCACTCATGCAGCATACCAATTTAAAGCTAATTAAAGATATCTGCATCATATGACACATTCATTTTTCGTCTTCGGTAAGAGTCGTCTGAGACATGATAACTCAAAATTGACTTTTTTTAAAAATGCTTGGCAAAATTCAGTGAAATCAAAGAAACGTAAACGTGTGTTTGCGCTTGTATTGAAGTAGGCTACATTAACATAGGTGGAATGGAAATGGATGTAGGCATATTAAGTGAATGGAACATGTTTGCCTTTTTTGTTTTGTTTTGTTTATTATTGTTGTTGTTGTTAATAAAATATATTTTATTAGGACAGTCTGAAACAGATTGGAAAGCACAGCAGTCAGTCACAAGTAATACGCAAAACTTGGACTAAACAGTACATAATATGCCCATCAGTATTTTGTTAAAGAGATATTGCTCTCGTGCAGAGCATGAACTTTTTTGGCATGGATTGTGTTCAGTTTTGGGCATAGTTATCAGTCATTTTATCCTGAATGTCACAGAGAAAATTGGAAACAAAACCCCTGAACTCGGAGCAAAGTCGCGTTTCTTCAGCTGTTGTTTCACGGGGCTCCACATGCAATGTATCTGATCTGTAGAAGTCATATCGGGGTTATTTACTGATGACCACTCCGACGTTGGTATGATTTGCTTTTCCACGAATTGTCTAAAGGTATTGTCCCTTTGAGAATGAGCTTTGGCATGGATAAACATGTCTACTAGAATAACACAATGACAAAAATAAGGATACAGCGTGACGTTCCAGCACTTGCGCGATATTGTTATCTTAACGAAGCCATGGCCGTTGATTCTCACAAGTGGGGTTTGTTTTATTCCAGTCAGGTCATCCCAAACCATAACAATTTTGGTCTTTGTTCCTCAGTGAGAGACGATTATGTTCAAAATCTATACAATCCATACTCAAAAAGGGTTGGTGCTCTTCACGAAAAAAAAATTATGCTCGTAAACAAAAATTGCCTATCGATCAGCACACTAATAATTAAAAGTTTTGCTAGGTATTTGGGACTGTCCTATTTTCCAATTTGTACGAAATGATATCGTAAAAGAACGTTGTTCATTGCTGAGACAATAATTTACCATTTATTTTGGTATGTTATACGTAGATCTAATATTGTATATCCATTCCACAAATATTAAAACACTCCAATACAAGCGCAAACACACTTTTACTTTTACATTTCTTTGATTTCACAGAATTTTGCTTAGCATGATTTTTTAAAGCTTTGAGTGATTATATCTCGGTCGACTCTTGTCGTAGATGAAAAGTTCAATGTGTCAGATTATGCCGACTTTATAATAAAATATTTAGCTTTAAATTGGTATGCTGCATGAGGGGGTAGTGCAAGGCTTTAACACGATAATTGGGTGAATACATTTTCAAGTTTCTTTTAGACGCCACTGTTTACATGTGTATATTGGCCTGAATCCAGTATGTACATAATGTATTATGTAGGGGCCTTTACATATCCCCCATTGACTCAACTTAGAGTATTTAAGAGGCCGGTTTCAACCCGACCCGCCAGAGCCAACCCGGGCTGAGAGTTACAGTGTACACGTGCAACATTCGGTAGACTATTAAAAAGGATGGATTATAGTTAATAATTACCCACCCCCCCTCCCCCCACCCCAACAACAACAAGAACAACAACAAAACGAACAAACAAACAAACAACAAAGAACCAACCAACCAAACAAACTAACAGACAACAACAACAAAAACAAACAAGCAAACAACAACAACAACAAATGAAAACAAAAACAAAAACAAAAACAAACAAACAAATAAACAATAACAACATCCTTGTTCTGCAACACGCTACCATAACTAAAAACGCAGTTAATAATATTGGGGGGGGGGGGGGGGTTCGGAGAAGGAAGGCAGGTGGAAAGAAATACAATGTATATGACATTGTACATGTTGAGTTTGAGAGAAGGGAGTGAGAGGGGCGTGAACTACGCTGACGACTAAAACTGCATGCTCACTTATGCAGAACGTTCTTAAGTAGGCCTACCAGTATGTGCCGATTTTAAAATAATATATTTTTTGGGGGGTTAGTGTTTTTCGACCCTCGAAACTTCATAAGGTCATATGAACGCGCGGGACACATGAAATATTTTAAGTTGGTAGGAAGTTTTGCATTGTGCTTGAGTGGCGGCCGAAGCCATCTCTTATCGATTTTGAACCACCAAGGGATCTTTACGTGCGCAAAGTGAACACGGTATCTCCGAGATTTTTCGCCCTTATCCGCGATGCTTAGGTTTAGGTACGAGTTTTGAGGCACTTACAATATAAATATACCATTTAAGGGTCGATGGGTAGAGGTTTTACTTACAGATAAAAAGAAAGGAGGTGAGAGGACGATAGCAAACCACACAAGAGCATCCATCAGTCATCCGCGGTCAATCGCTAATAAAACTTAGTGGTTTCCGATTGGTTCAGTCCATAGCCTACTTTATTCATAAGTAGAGAACGCCATGGTTCAGTCACTTGTTCCTCTCTGGCAAATCAAAGTGTTATTGTTACTAAAGCTGATCCCTTCATTGGTCATTCCTTCACTTTCGCATCGCAGTGTTGCAACTGATGCTGTTTCATAATTAACATTGATAATATAGCCTATATTATATGATAATATATCAAATTATACCCGTTACAATGCGGCGTCATGGAAATTCACTCAAAAGCATGATCATAGCCACTTACTCTCACCTCTACCCAAACAACACGAACAGCACATTTAAAACACGCGCAAACACACTTAGCCTCCCCCCCTCTCTCTCACTCTCTCTCTGTCTCTCTCTGTCTGTCTCTCTCTCTCTCTCTCTCTCTCTCTCTCTCTCTCTCTCTCTCTCTCTCTCTCTCTCTCTCCCTCTCTCGTATTTCATCGTAAAATAAACGCACTATAAGGTAAGAGCTGAGTTGCGCCCCTTCAAGTTCGCATAAGAACTCGGTCGGCCCGAGAACTCGCTTTTTTTGTCTCTCTACGACCACGTCCGGGTTCTTAGGCGGAGACTGCTGTAGAGCTAGACCTAGGCCTTCTCAGTGTGTAGGCCTATACATACGCAGCGGAATCACACGCATATCAATTTATGAGTGATGTGGAGTTATTGGTATCATCTTGAAGCTTGTTCATTTGTCTAGCTTTTTATGAAAAATACTCTTCTCACTTGAGTATAAGACGATATTATGTGTAATTGCAGAAAGTTAGAAGAGGTGGTGGTGGGGGGAGAGGGGTCACCTGCAGGTGTCATAGTCAAAGGTAAAATCAGCGGGGAAAAGGTCTCCAAAGTTTAGTGACTTCCAAAGTTTAAACGTCCTTGTGAACCTCAGATTTACTTTTCTTAGATGCCTTTTTATTTGACTAACCATTTTCAGGAAAACCCACAAAGGAATGGTGTTGAATAGAGATAAAATTTATAAAAATCGGAATAAAAATTGTCCAAAGGGCGGATAAAAGTCACTTTCTTCGATTTGATTTTTCATAGCTATACTATTTAGAGGATCGCCTTAATTTTAAGTGCCCCCCCCCCTCTCTCTCCCTCTCTCGCTCTGGTTTCTCCAAACGAATTAAATGGAAATGTAGGCCTCTCCCCCCCCCCTCTGTGTGTGTGTGTGTGTGTGTGTGTGTGTGTGTGTGTGTGTGTGTGTGTATATGTGTGTGTTTGTGTGTGTGTGTGTGTGTGTGTGTGTGTGTGTGTATATGTGTGTGTTTGTGTGTGTGTGTGTGTGTGTGTGTGTGTGTGTGTGTGTGTGTGTGTGTGTGTGTGTGTGTGTGTGTGTGTGTGGGCCTATTTCTTATACCGCTAAGCTTTACGTTATTTTTCCGCACTCTTTTTTAACGATAACTTTAAAACTCGTACCAAATTAAAATATTAAGTTTGACTGTGATGGAATCAAAGGCATCGGCATACTAGATTGTCCTGTATGAACTGTTCGACTCTGATAGACTACAGTAACGCGCATCTTTTAGATTGTTTTCAAAATGAAGCGACAGAGGTAGCGTACCTCGAACCAGCGCTTTTGAAAGGGGGGGGGGGGGGGGGTGGAGCTGAAGTAAAGATAGGCCAAGCCTAGTGAGTGTTATAACTTAAGTCTTGTCCTCACATTCACTCGTTATTGAGCCATGTAATAGACGTATAACCACTCCGCTTTCCACAGGCTTTCCATTGTTTATCAGGACAAACAGAGCATTGATCATTCGCCTGAAAGCATGTACGTTCGAAACCCCCCCCCCCTCCCAACCGTAATACTATAATAAGCAAAAACCCAGCTTCGCATAAAGCGCGACACATTCTTACTTATGAAATCCATGCTATTACAGAATAGGCTATAGAGGCACATTCTTAAAAGTGCACTGGTATGACCTGGGGTCTTTTCCTGGGGTCCAATCAGTCTCACCTGGAGAAAGATAGAAATAGAAGGACGTGCAGTAGATTCTACGTGAAAACCTTTATTATGAGTTCAAGATCTAGATCTAGGTCTAGAATGTCTAGATTCTAGATCTAATCTAAATCTAGATTAGATGAGATAGATTCTACTCTAGTTCTAGCCTACACCAGAACTTTACCTAGGGCCTAGGCCTAGACCTAGCGGACAATCGGTGAGAGAAAGAGGGATTTCGATTCCTATGAAAATAAAAGTCGGTGCAATGAGGTAAAAAAAACACCTTTGAGAATTTCGACACTGCTAGTATAAATCAGAAGATAGCATTGTCAGTTTCGTTCAGGCCAAACTTGTGGGGAACATGCCAAATATTTGCCTGTTATTCCTCTGAATGTTTTGCTATTTAGGTATGCATGCCAATCTCTGGGAATAAGTCTTCAAGGGAGATCCCATTGGTTGACCTAGGTCACGTGACGTCACATATGTTAATAAGTATGAAAGCAATATGGAGGACAAAAATGTGTAAGAGAGTTTCAAACTAAAAAGTTTAGATGAAATATGCCAGAGAGGGGCAGCGGGGACTTTCCCCTACCCGAGGGATGGGAAAAAGCTGTGGATTATGATGGCAAAAGCTTTTTCATCGATCATAATAATCGGAGAACAACGTGGATTGACCCTCGAGACAGGTAAAGTGACAGAAAACGCCGTGTGTGTTGCTGTTAGCATCTCGACAAGTGAACCAGATTTTTAGAGGTCTCAAGTCTATGTGGTGACTGAATTAGCATGATTTGAGTCCCCATAAACTAAATGTAGAATCTAGGCTTAATTAGATCGATTTTTATCGGTACAAATGAACTTCTTAATGTTATAACTTCAATGTTGCTCACATTACATTTAAAGTGTTTTTTTATGGTGTGTGTCTTGTATGAAACTTCTTGGCTTGTTCTTGTCTTCTCTTGTGAAGTAGAGAAGTTAGTTCAGATACCGAGACTGAGAGAAATGCAATGTTCCATCGTCTACACAAAAGTACACACAAGGATCCAGGTCTAGCCATTCTAGTTTTATTGTCTAGATCTAGATCTAGATCTAGTTAAGAAGTGGATAGAGTCTAGGTTCAATTCAAAATGCCAAAACTGAACCCTGGCACTTATCAAGTCAGTTTTACTTTGCTGTTGTTGCAAGTTTGAATTGGTTGAAACTCATCTCTGCTCTTTAAACTCTAATGATGGTGTTACTTTGGAGTAAATTTAGGATAGATCTAGATCTAGATCTAGATCTATCTAGATTTCTAGATCTAGATATATAAAGTTAATTTTCAGCTCACATTTTGCTAAACTTTATAATTTCCCTGAAGGTTTCATGGCAGTCTCGAGCGGTGTAACTAGATCTAGATTTTTAGATCTAGATCTAGATTCTAGTATAAAAGGTTAGTTAGGGGTAGGGGAGGAAGTGGTACAGGTGAGGCGCGTAGGAATACAGTCGAACCTGCCTTAACGGAAACCTGTCTTAATGGAATTCCCCCGCTCCCCCCTTGATATATTGCTCTCATCCGGGGTGAGAATAGAAAAACGATCTACCTCTCACCCCGGGTGAGACTTGCCAGCGTAGGCTATTCTCACCCG